TGGTTTATTGCTTGAAGTTATTCAAGACTATTTTGAGCTTGAATGGTGGATAACGTTTTATAGCCTGTGGTTTCACTACACACGAAAACCCCAGCAGAACTGACTTTCAGCGGCTTATGCTTATGTATACCAAATGTACACATAGACTGTTTTCTACATTCTATACTAAACTTGCAAGACAGTAAAACACAAATCATAACATACTTTCTAACTTACTGCATCTCAGTCAGTATAGATTCAAGTGCTTGAGAAGGGGGCACACAACATATTATTAAATATTCACTAACTCTTTATCTGGATAGTCCATTTAGACACTCTACTGCTTTTCTGGGTTTTCATACATAACAGTCTCTAGAGTTTACACAGAATGGTGCGAAAAACAAAAAACATCCTGTGAGCAAAGGATCTGCAGGCTGAAATACCTCGTTGATGAGAGAGATCAGAGGAGAATGACCAGACTGGCCTGAGCTGACAGAAAGTCTACAGTAACTCAAATAAATACTCTTTACAACTGTGGTGAGCAGAAAAGCATCTCAAAACACACATCAAACCTTTAGGTGGATGGGCTACAACAGCAGAAGACAACATCAGGTTCTATTCCTGTCCGCCAAGAACAAGAATCTGAGGCTATAATGGGCAAAGACTCACAGAAACTGGACAGCTAAAGACTAGAAAAGGACCAGGTGATTTTTTTTGTATTCTTCAGTTTCAATGAGTCTGTGAGTTGGGAAACATGGCAGGAAGTGGGTGCAGCTAGTGTTGGTGACGTACATTTTTCTGTTCCTATTTTCTGACATATGTCTTCTTTAGTCTGCAGTACAAACATGAAAAACATGTTCCCCTGCTGCTTTACAAAAGTGCTAAGTATGTAAGAAGTGAAACAACAAAAGCATTTTGTATTTTGTAAATGTAACAGACCTGATTTTCTTTCAGTTGTGTAAGTGCGCGCACACACAAACACACACACACACAGACCCAGTAGTCTCTCAACTTTTGACAAGACCAAAATGAATATAACGAATATGAACGAAACCTGCCCTATCACATTTGCATCGATCACACACATCCCCGACATTATAGTAAATTTCTGAAAGTCTAGATTTTGTATAATAGACGCAGTGGAGGACCTTAAGCCCTCTTCTATTTGCTTTAGCTATAGAACTGCTCTCTATTATGCTTAAATCTTTGCAGTCTATAAAGGGTATTGAAAGAATAGGCACAGAACTATATGCAGACATCCTGCTGTTATGCCTTTCAAATCCAGTGAAAAATGTCCCAAAAATAGTGCAAAAGTTGTCAGACTTTGGCAGATTCACAGAATATAAATTAAACCTTTCTAAAAGTGAGCGTTTCCTGATTAATTCTCTTGCCTTGCAAATCACGGCAGATTCCCTTACATTTCACATTTCTCAATCTGGTTTTAAATATTTGGGAATCCATATTACTTGCAATTTTTCATGTTTATATGCAAATAATTTTCTACCACTTATAAACA